AGATCTGGGAGGTATCTGGCACTTGCTGAGCCCCTTGTGAGCCCTTTTCTGTGTTGTGCACTGTGGTTAACAGCTCTGTCGTGCCTGTTTCACAGGGATAGCTGGTGGACACACTCATGACTTCCACAAAAAGTTTGCAAAGTAAGGCAGACTGGCATCTGAACAGAGTCCAACGATGTTCAGTGACCCATATAAAAGACCCATTTTCACTACCTCGGCTCTCTGACAAGCATACGTTGTTCTTGTTTGGGGAGAACACAGGGTTGGCTTATTTTGGGGGCACAAGGACTTACAAAATAAGACCACCCTGTTCCAAATTTGGGCAGTTTCAAAGGACAGGGTTTTGGGAACTCAGAACAACCTGTACGACTTTATTGTCTTTGGGTCTGGCTAAACACAAAAACCAGCCTCCCCCTTAATCCCCATCCCACGTGCTGAAAACCATAAACTCGAGTTGCCACAATACAAGGCCATGGCAGAGTGCCCAGATGCCTTTCGGGATGGTATGACCCAATTAGGAGGTAGTGATGGTTGGGGTTGTGACTGTCCCTCCATTAGAAGCTGACAGAGAAAAAGCTATGACCAAAATGTTTGCCTTGTTTAATTAAATATCGGCAGGAATATCTATTCACTTTACAGCTCTAATACACCAGACACAGGATGTGAGCTCCAGGCAGGAGCCAAAGCCACTGTTGCAGGTATGCTCCCAGCTTTACCAGTTAATTAGATGCTAAACCTTAAACTGTGACAACCAAGCAGATGTTATCACCCATTGCAGTTCGAATCAGAATTCTATCTAATTATGTCAGAATTACGGCTGGGAATTGTGTAGACAGACAAATCCTTTCAGAGCAGTTCAATGTCACTGCTATAGTTTATGGTAAAGTCAGTTGGGATCAAATTGGCAACCTATGCACCTGTCCACATTCCCTCAGGCCTAAAAATACCATTAACTCTTTAAAAAAATTGAAAAATTAATCCACTACAGTATAGGAAAAGAAGAAACAGGGCCACTAATAAACCAAAAGTGTTGAAGATTTCCTGAAAGAGAAATCAGGCCTGAAGTTGGTAGTTTTCATGAATATTTGGTAACAACACAAGAAGCTAAGTCTGGAGCCCAGATGCAACCATCCGAGCAGCTGTTCAGCCTCTCTGCCTGCGCAAATGAACCTAATCCTGAGTCTGGCTTGGTTCAGTGTGTGCATTTTCAGGTGCCACACTAGGTATCTCGAAAACCTAAACTGCAAAAACCTGAACAAACGTAGGGCTGCCGAGTTGACTAGATTAATAAATCCATTCAGAGGTAAATCAGATGACCCCAATTAATGAAGAAAAAGACTGAAAGAAAAATTCATCGTCCCACCGACAACCTCAGGTGCTCAGGTCAGAATAAAGCCCATGGTGTGGCCATCACCAATATATAATAAGGGGTGGGGGGTGGGGACTTGAGATAAGAGATCGGAGAATACAAATAGCTTTTAAAAAAAAAACAAAAACAGCGAGTGTTAGAGTACTACATCTGTCAGCATCACTGGCTACAGCACCGCTGCCGTCTGGGAGAGGAACATCGCAAAGACTGTGGGTGTGACCAGGCAGTGAGAGGCCCCCGTGGAGCGCCAGTCGACCATCGTGGCAGCCTCCCCCGCCCTCTGGCCTCCCAGCCGGGTGCCGCCCGCCCCTCAGTCCCTGCGGGTTCCTCCCCCTGCATCCTCCGAACCCAGGCAGCACCCGTCCCCGCCCCTGCTGACTGACAGGCCGTGCAGCCACTCCGCGGAGCCTGGCTTTCGCCCGGCAACTGGGGCATAGGTGACAATCTCTACAGTAGCCAATGGGAGCCAAGAGGCAGGGCGAGCGGAGGGAGCCGGCGTGGGTCAGGTGCTCTGCGCCGAGGTCGCGTGCAGGTGAGCTGGTGCGGTCCGGGGGGCGCCCCTTGCTCCAGTGTCCTCGCGGTTAGCCCCAGCCTGCGGGAGAGGGCCTCCTCCGGGCCCTCCCTCCCATTGCCCCAGACTGCATCGCTGCTAGGGTAAGAGTCCAGGGGGTGGGCGGCTTGCCTCCCGGGGACCCACACCGCTCCTCTGGGCCCCAAAAGCTATCCCCACCCCGCGCCTCCTTGCCATTGCATATCTATCTAAACAGCCCGCGGAGGCATCTGCCGGCCTCGGCGGGCAGGAGGTCCGGGAATTAGCAACGTCCCTTGCCCCGCGACCCTTCCTGGCGGAGAAGATGAGGCGATGCATCCCCTTCTCCGTGACGCCTACCCGCTCTACACAAACCTACTCCTTTACTTTTCCTCTTCTTCCCTTTAATTGGCACCCCTTCCCTCCAGATTTCCAAGGCTGTGGAAGAAGGATTGGAGGAGAGGGAGAACTGGAAAGCAGCTCAGAGAAATCTGGACCTAAATCTAGGAATGCCACTGCTTTGTGCAGCATTTTGTGCATGGAAAAGGAAAAAAAATTGTGATGTCTTTCATCCCCACCCCCACCTCTCTGTTCATTGCTTTATGTCGTCGATGTGATAATAATGTTGGTTCTTCTTGCCAAACATTCATTCCTAAGCTTTAGACAGCACTTGACCTTTGCTTACGTTTGTTGGTCCCAGGAAAGCAGTTCTCGCCTGCTTACCACATTTGCTGACTTAATTTGCTAAGATAGATGAAAATCAGGTGTTTCATATAGTTGATTCTCTCTCTTTAGC